CAGCATCACTGGCACCTGTTCCTATTGTAGGCAATCCATAGCCAACGTAGATTCGAGCTCAGTATACTCCAGAGGTAGCTAGAGCGTTGAGGCTCTCATTACAGCTACGGAGTTGATTATCTGACAATCCCGCTGTAGTGGTCAGCTTTCCCATTATTGGAGAAGAGGGTGTCCTGTTTGTGGCTTGGACCACAACTCCATGGACCTTGCCTTCTAACTTGGCACTCTGTGTCAACCCTGAGATGCAATACATACAAATCTTGGATAAGAAGTCGGGCAATGTCTACATTTTGGCCGAATCCCGGCTGTCCCAATTGTATCCTGCCATGAATAAGAAGAAATGGAAGCCCAAGATGGCAGAGGAACTATACAAGGTTCAAAAAAAGGTGTCCGGAAAGGACCTTATTGGCAAGAGATACCAGCCATTGTTTGATTTCTTCAAGAGTGATTCTTTCTACCAAGTGGTTGGAGATTCGTATGTTACGGATGATGCTGGTACGGGTGTTGTTCACCAATCTCCTGCCTTTGGAAAAGACAATTTCCGCGTGTGTTTGGCCAATGGAATCATTGAAAAGGGAGGAAATATTCCCTGTCCAGTCGATTCCATATGTTCACGGAGGAAGTGCCCCCCGTGAAAGGAAAGAATGTCAAGGAAGCCGACAAGGAGTTGATTGCCCTCATCAAGGAGAAGGGGCGCATGGTCGATAGCGGTAGCTTGTTTCACTCTTATCCATTCTGTTGGAGATCCGATACCCCATTGATTTACAAGATTGTTCCCTCTTGGTTTGTCAAGGTTGAACAAATCAGAGACCAAATTGTCGAGAATAATAAGCAAACCTACTGGGTTCCTTCTCATGTCAAGGAGGTTCGATTCCACAATTGGTTGTCAGATGCGCGGGACTGGGTTGATTCCCGCAATCGATTCTGGGGAACTCCTCTACCCATATGGGCCAATGAAGACCTGAGTGAAATGGTTTGCATTGGAAGCATTGATCAGTTGGAAGAGTTGTCTGGTGTCCGAGTCGAAGATTTGCACCGCAAAACCGTGGACAAGGTTGAAATTCCATCCAAGAAACAGCCTGGAGCAATGCTTCGCCGTATTGATGAAGTCTTTGATTGTTGGTTCGAATCTGGAAGTATGCCTTATGCCCAGAAGCACTACCCATTTGAGAACAAGGAGAAATTCGAGGGTGGTTTCCCTGCTGATTTTATTGCTGAAGGATTGGATCAAACTCGTGGATGGTTCTACACATTGATGGTTCTTTCCACTGCTCTTTTTGGAAAGTCTGCAATGAAAAATGTCATTGTCAATGGTCTTGTCTTGGCCAAAGATGGAAAGAAAATGTCCAAGCGTTTGAAGAACTACCCGGATCCATCCCTTGTCATTGATAAGTATGGTGCCGACGCTTTGAGAATGTACTTGATCAACTCGCCCGTCGTGAGGGCGGAAGAACCCAAGTTCAAGGAAGCTGGAGTTTTTGTCTCTAAGAGAGCTCGTTTGGATATCCATCCAATGATTACTATTCTTGCCTTGAGAGTTCAAGAACCTACAAAGTCTGATTGGAAGAAGTGTGTTCGCATGATGCAATATTTGTTTTGTACATTGTTGTATCACCTAACACTTTCCGCTGAATCACTACGAGTCATGAAATGGATGATCGACGCATCTTTTGCGATGCATCCAGATTTCAAGAGCCATACTGGCGCACTCTGTCCTTTGGAGGAGGTGCAGCTCAAGTGATGTTGAAGAAACAAAAACTAAACAGCAGAAGCAGTACGGAAGCGGAACTGATTGCTGTTGACAATGTTGTCACAATGATGCTATGGACAAAGTTGTTCATGGAGTGGCAAGAAGGGTATCCAATTGAGAAGAATATCTTGTATCAGGATAACGTAGGTTGAAATCACGTTCATCTTCATCTTCAGGTTCGTAGTCCTGATCAAAGGCTTCCTCTAAGTAACCTTGTTCCGTGTCATCCACTCCTGCAATTTGATCGCCATCTTGAAATGTCTCCAAATCTCTCTTCTTATCAAAGAACTTAATGGAAGTAACACCTTCGGCAGAAGCCCAAGCTTCAACACGCTGGATTACTTGATTGGTAACGGGTAGTACAACAACCGGGGCCAGAATTGAGGTTCACGGTGATAAAGTCACCTTAGTTTCCGCCCTGTTGGAAGGTTGCCTGTGCATGATCAGTGATGGATCCTTCAAGAACAAGTTAGATACCGCAGCAGGCCAACTCTTGGTGAAGCATGGAGGGTCAGAAAGAATCATCATCCGGTGTCAGACCACCAGTTTGCCCCAGGATCAGAGCCCATACCACAGCAAATTCATCTGGCTGTTGGCAGGTATCATGGCGGTTGATTGGCTCCTTAAGCAATGGGCTCCAAACCTTTTGACATGCCCCAAGGTGCGGATTGCTTGCGACAGTCTCTCTGCCATTGAGATGGCTTTCAAAGATCGCCCACTTTCCCCAACTGACACCCAGTTTGACTTGGTGTCAACCATTTGGGAAGCTATCCTCCGGTCCTCTGTGGATTGGTGGCCCCAGCATGTGTATGACCATCTCGACAAGTCCAATATCTTTGACAAATTGTCTTGGTGGGAGAAACGGAACCTTGAGGTCAATGGAATGGCGGAGGAGCTTGAGGCGGCCAATCATCTCATGAGCATAACCGTCAATCCTCGATTCTTCACTGAACTTGCGGCATTGTAAGTGGCAGACACCAAACAGTCATGACTTGATCCTCAGTTCATCCAAGAGTGCATGACCCATCCCGCCCTCTGCTTGCGCTGGAAGGACAAAGGTACTATCTCCGCCAAAGCCAAGTCTGAGATTGCCTGGGACACACTGGGTCGCGCCATGCAATCTCTCCCTGCACAACTACAAAGGTGGTCTACTAAACACTGTATGGGTATGTGTGGTACAGGTAAATTTAAAGTCCTATGGGGTTTGGAGACATTGGCAGCTTGTAACGTTCAACTACGTGAACGTAACAGCACTGTCAATGAGGGGATTCGCTCACAGTTTGATATGGGTCCTGATGACTTGCCTAGAGAAATTCAACCAACGCTAACCAGCCGTCGAGGAGTCCTTCACAAGTCATTGGTGGACAAAGAAGAGTGGCTTAAGTTGCTGTGTCAGGAGCGCAGAGATTTCTGCCACTCCATGAAAGCACAACGCTGCAGTCTGCAGACCATTTTTTCCCCTGGACCCTGACTGTTAGAATAAAGCAAAATGTGCTCTATTGTGAGTGCCTTTAGCGCTCAGAACAAACTCTCTGCAACACACGGGTCATACGGATTGAAAACAAATCCCTTTGCCTCCAAATCACTTTGAAACTAATTATAGAATAGGAGGCTCGATTGCAACATCCCATATATAGCACGTAGTACCCGCTCATAGATTACTCGCTTTCCGTTCTCTAATACAACGTATGTGCAATACTCTGGGGCCATGTCAATCAATATCTGGACCATCATGCCAGTGATTTTCATGTAGACACGATCTTCTCCTTCCTTAGCTTCAGGCATATAAGTTTGAATGAAAGCGTTAGGCACGTCCATCGTCATTATATCTCTACCTTCGTGTGCATCAATAACATAAGTAGTGGTGATTGCTTCCTGCGAAGCAGTTGGACTTGCAGTGTCCTCTCGCGATAACCATTCACGAGTTCCATCGCCTCGGCATACTAGGCGACCTTTACTTGTCTTTTTGAATTGCTTCTCCGCGAGTAACATCATCGCTGATTGGGCCTTCTTGCGCTCAGAAGCGGTCATGTCTTTAACAAATTTGGGAGTGAAATAATCTCTCAGGAGCATTTGTCTCAATTCCTTATCCACAGCATTCTTTCCATCATCACCAAACTTCTTCAGTCCTTGATTGATGTAATACTGTTGAATGAAGTTCAGACCTTCGTCAGTATTGAACTTGGCCTTGATCTGCATCATGCAATGAGCGATCAGAATAGCATCGTGCTCTTCATAATCAGCAGCTTTCATCTCATTCCCAATCTGTTGGAAACATTGATTGTGCTGTGCTTCAAGGATTGCTTTACTGTCTTTAGTACTGCGACTTCCTTCTTTGGTACGAATACCAGATTTCAACTTGTTCTTCAACAGTTTCAATTCTCTCTCTCGATGCTTGCGTCTTGTCGCAACTTTCTTATTGGCAGAACTTCCACTCCTGCTTGAAGGCCATTCTCTTGGTTTCTTTGGAACTTGAGAAAGTTTCAGCCCAGACATTGCAGCTTGCGCATACGTTTGCCCAGATTGAGTGACTTTTGCTACTTGAGGCGTTTCAGGCTCAAATACAATCTCTTCTTCTGGCAGCTCTTGTAGGTCCTCCAGATCAGTAACGAGGCTCCCAATATCATTGGTTCCTCTATCAACATTTTCTTGATGGTGATCCAAATTGGCCACAATAGGTTCTTCCTCTTTATCGCCTTCATCACCCAAATCCTCGTCTGATTTGTAGTCATCGTCTCCTTAGAATCTGACAGTGAGTTCTGGCATATCATCAACATCATTGTCTGCATCTGCCAAGAGGTCTGTCATCAATATCATCAAATTGTCCATGTAGGTTGAAATCATGTTCATCTTCATCTTCAGGTTCATAGTCCTGATCAAAGGCTTCTTCTAAGTAACCTTGTTCCGTGTCATCCACTCCTGCAATTTGATCGCCATCTTGAAATGTCTCCAAATCTCTCTTCTTATCAAA